ACAGCAGTATTAGCTAACCAATTAGGATACTTTACCTCGCGGATAGACCCGATTTTTAGTAATTTTTGGACCTCATCTTGAATCACTTGATATTTCAAAGCTCCTTGCTTTCTCTTCTTTTGTTTGACAGGTTGTATNAGTTCCTGCTGAGGGTAATCTTTTAAGGAAATCAGGACAAGCAGACGTGTGGCTAAAGCCTTTGATTGGTCCAGTTGAAAGAGCTAAGCTTGAGAGCCACAGTTCTTTGACCTTGATGAATGACATGGTGCATGCTTCTTTAAAGGTACCCCTTTTTTCAAGCTTTATTTTATCCTTGTCCTATTTTCAGGGTTCTCATCTTCCCTTTTCCTTTTTGTTTAGGTTAATTTAATTGGCATAGAGATGATGAAAAGAGCTACCCTTTTAGAGCAATTAATGCGTGACTATCAAATGGAGGTGGATAATTGGAAGGGACAGTATGACGGTCTTCAAATTGATGTGGAAACCTTAGAAGAAAATAAAAGTACCTTGGAGCAGCAGGTAAGGACCTTGACTTTAGAGCTGGCAGTTGTAAAAGCTTCCTCAAGTCAAGCAAGCAAAGAGAAGTTGCATCTTGAACCTACTTATTCTGAGCAACTTTCCAAGGCTAGTGAGGAGATTAGAGAGTTGAAGGCTCTCTAGGACTGAGAAAGAAACATATAGCTCGGAGAAACTCGTGCAAACACTGACTCAAACTCAAGAAGACCTCCAGGAATCTTCTGATAAGGTTCGCTTTTCAGAGAGTTACTCATGCTGCTCTCCAAGCTTCTCACGAATCTGCCTTAGGCTGAAAATGAAAAATTAAGAAATGAAATTGCTGATTGGGAAAGAGATTATGAGATCCTTGAAGAGAAATCTGCCATTGAAGTGAGTTGGGCGTTTTTAAATTCTCGCCATGATACCCTCGTTCTAGTTAGCCAAGAGAATTTTAACTTAGAATCTGAGTTAGCCAAGATCAAAGAGGCTCTCGAGAAGACTCAGCAGAACCAAGATTTCTCTTCTCCCATGGCTGAAGTTTCTAAACAAGTTGAAGATGATACGGGTATCCCCACTCCTTCGAGTCAAGCTGAGCCGCCCGCTGCTGTTGATGTCCCTATTTCAGTTCCTTCAAGTTCCCAGTGAAAAGTTTAAATTCCTTTGTTGCTTTTTGTTTTTTTTTTCTTCTTGGTGGTGGTTCTACCCCTTGGTCTTTTTAAGGGTTTGTGGAAAACGTTAAGCCCCCAGACCTTTTATGGGGCATTTTGTTTAATCAACTTTTTGGTTAATGACTAAGTTCATACTTAGTCTAAACTTTTTTATATTATGAAGTTTTCGTTACTATTTAAGCTTCTATTTTGTTTATTCTTGCCTTTATTTTTAAGGACTTACTGAATAACTTGCATTTTTATTTTGTAAAATGCTTTCTTTTTCTCATGAATGTCTTAAATCAATCATGAATTATAAAAGAGGGACCTTTTATATTCGACACTTAATGACGAAGACGTCTCAACTTCATAATGGTGTTAACATACGACAAAAGAAATAGGAATACACATGTTTCTTGAAAGAACTTTGACAAGTTTTTATTTGAACTTTGCCAAGTTTAAGTAATACTTTACATGTATTTAAATAACATCTATAACTTTTTCGTTACTGTTTTCCTCACAACAGATTTAAAAGAAAGAATAAAATATAAGGTTTTTATGTAATAACCCGTTTTAGTACACGTACTTTAAATACAAGGTTTTTATCTATAACCTGTTTCAGTATATTGCCTTTAACCTAACTATGGTAAGGTTTTCGTCTTGGCCTTGGCTCG